GACGGCAATTGCCGTCGGTGCCGTCGGTTAATTCGAGCCCTGTTCCCACTCCTTCTCTTTCTCTCGCTCTCTCTCTCTCTCTCTCTCTCTCTCTCTCACACACACCTCTCTGAGGCTCTCTCTCTCTCTCACGCATACACACACATACACATTCCCACTCTCTCTCTGTCTCTCTCTCTCTCTCGCACACACACACACACACGGCAATCAGCAGATCGTCCCATTGCGCAATCATGCGTGTACGTGTCGCAAGCTCACTGTGTGAGATGGATGTAGCCTAGCGGCTCCTCGTCCGGAACCGGTCGTGTAGCCACGGCCTAAATATTTATGCATAATAGTGTGCAGCAGCTAGCGTGCGGCAGCCAGCGTGTGTTGCAGATGAGCATTTGGACGGCATTTACAGGAAATTGTCGGCTATAATAGGTGAAAGAGAGTATAGAAACGTTAAGACTTTGGTAGTAAATAGATTTCGTATTTATTTAGCATTATATTTTATTGAAACGCTCCAAGTGCCTGTGGCTGTGCTTGGAACGTCTCAATAAAAAAAAGGTAATTAAACAGGAAATGTATTTACTACCAAAGTCTTAAAGCCGCACAATGCGCATCCAAACGCTAATTTCTCCAGTACTAGACTAGCAAATACTTCGTGTCATGCATAATCACACGACCTTATGACAAAATAAACTCTAGTTCCTCCCATTTCACTGCACGTTGTCTTATAAAAGGTATTTAAAAATACCTCCAATGTTGTTCAAATTCTCCGATGTTGTTGACAGTTTCCCCAAGCAACCGTGCAGCGGTGCTGCGGTACAGCGGTACGGGTGTAGCAAAGATAAAAACATGGGACGTCACCTCACCACTTCGAGGCTAAATTGTTTGGCAAACAGTCGGCGTTTGCGCCAGAATGCCAGAATGCCAGTTTTCTCACCTCTTTCTTGTGGGTTTTAAGCAAACGCGCAGTGAAATGGGAGCAACTAGAGTTTATTTTCTCATAAGGTAGTGTGATTATGCATGACACGAAGTATTTGCTAGTCTAGTACTGGAGAAATTAGCGTTTGGATGCGCATTGTGCGGCTTTAATGTTTCTCTACTCTATTTTGCCTATTATTGCCTAGATCTCTCTTATTCTTGTAGTTTGTGCACAGGGCGTGCGTGCGTTGTACTTGTGTGTTGCAGAATAAGTGCCTCATAGATCTATGAAATAGAAGAAAATGTGGAAAACCCTAAGGGAAGAAGCCATGTAATATTTTTCACTGACTTCACACAAAAAACACATGATTGGGCCATAATAAAAATATTACTTGTTTGCCCTCACCCGGATGACCCGCCAAAAAGGGGCCCGACTCAAAATATTCTATTGATCTTTCCAATTTTTTTTTTTACAAATTGTATCACTGTACATTATATAAATCTGTAGGCTGAGGCAATACATTATATCAGGAGTAAGATAATATAGGATCCTATATAGGATCCTATATAGGATCCTATATAGGATATATAGGATCCTATATTATCTTACTCCTGATTATATGTACCAAGCAAAACAAACATTCAACATAAAAGGTATCTCCACACAAGCACACCTGAGCATGTAGACACCATGCTGAATTTGTAAAAATTAAGACCCCCCTCAAAAAAAAGAAAAAAAGCCTACCTACCTACCCAAACTTTTCAGCCTGGAGCGGGTGAGGGCAAACAAAGATTTTTTAATTGTGGCCTTACATATGCAGTCATTTTTAAAACTATGTAGCTTATTAACTATAGCATAATTTTGAACATTTTTTAATTAAATCTTATTTATCCACTTTGGAAAGCCTAGGCTTGCAAAGCTGGTCATAAGCCTCCATGTACAATGAGTAAACCATATGAGGCGCGTTCACATGGACGTTTTTGGCTCGAGCCTAATTAGGCCCGCGCCAGATTTGGCTCGAGCCGAGCGTTCACACGGGCGGTTTTTGGGGCCGTGCCAATTTGGCACGAGCCAATTTGGTCCCATCGAAAACGTCGGACCAGACTCGAGCCAAATTTTAGCACCAGCTTTCGGCGAGCGGCAGAATCGGTTGAGCGGTAGATGCCACAAGTGTCGAACGTGTACTTCGACGAAATAAAGTCCAAAACAGTATAAAAATTCGACGCTCGCGACATACTGCCAAAGTATCTGTGAGATATTTGTGCAATAAAATTTATTTGAATTTGAATTTGAATGTGACGGACAGTATTCACTTGCGTACATGTGAATGCTCCGACTCAAACTGGCCCGAGCCAAATTTGGCCTGAGCCAAATTTAGCCCACTTGGTTCGAGCCAAACCATGACCGTATGAACGCGACAATGATATATATATATAGCAGGAGTAGATAATAAGGAAGGAGTGTGACTTCAATAAACAAGGGAAATTCGTCATTTACTAGCCTTATAATACCTACGATTTAATACGCGTAACTCATCCAACTTGAGCTCAAATCGTACACAGTACATTCGCCTAGCATCGTGCGAAATCGTTTCCTCGTATACACCCGCAATCCGGAGATACAGACTAAAACGTACGACACGATTTTCCATTCTGTTGCCAGCAAACTCGATGCGTTCAGCGCCGAATTTGAAACAAAAGGCAGCTACTAACCACAGCTTGCTCTCTCGCCTAGGCGGTGTGGCTCGAGGGAGATTGGACATCGACGCAACACTCGGCGAGATAACTTTTGACCCGGCATACAGCTACATACCGGCATACCGGCATACAACTGGTATGCCCCCCACGCACGCACGTTCACCGCAATCGGCAGCAGCTCCAGCTCCAGCTCCAATCTCCCGATGCAAACCGAGAGAGCAAGCTGTGGTTAGTAGCTGCCTTTTGTTTCAAATTCGGCGCTGAACGCATCGAGTTTTCTGGCAACAGAATGGAAAATCGTGTCATACGTTTTAGTCTGTATCTTCGGATTGCAGGTGTATACGAGGCAACGATTTTGCACGATGCTAGGCGAATGTACTGTGTACGATTTGAGCTCAAGTTGGATGAGTTACACGTAGTAAATCGTAGGTATTATAAGGCTAGTAAATGACGAAGTTCCCTTGTTTATTGAAGTCACACTCATTCCCTATTATCTACTCCTGATATATAGGCAAGTAAGGGGACTACCCAGGACTGGTAGCTGCTTGAGTAGGATCAGGGGACAATTTGACAAATGTTTGACAATTTGTAATGACACAAATTTGTCGTTATTAAAGTGATTACGTCACCGTAAATAGTAAAAGTAAAAAAAATATTTCCACTTTTTCACAAAATGTAAGTAATTCTGTTAATTTTTTTATGGTTGTAAAAATTGCTGCATTATACTTCCTATTTTACTATATTGTTTGATGTAAACATACACTCGTGACTCATACATAGCCCGTAGCAAGCAATTAATGTCAGGATCATAATATCAAATTGTTCAGGTTTTTTTGATTTTTAAAGGGACAGTAGCCTCTAGGATTTTACTGCATACAACTGTACTTACTGTATAACAAATTGTCTATACCCACACGTATTTGTTACCAGATACATAATTTAATTGTTATAATGAATTACAAATCAACGCTACAAAATTTGAACGGCGCCATGACACCCGCGGCCGTGCTTGCCTCCCCGAAAAAGTTGCCTATTTGACAATTTATTTTGCACGTTACAGACGGAGGGCTAATCACAAAAGTGCAATTATATTTATACCTAAATGCTATTTAACCGAACGATATTCATTTTAGGGCAAATTTATCCATATTATAACTGAAACTATATGTTGTTTATAAGATATTACAATCCTTTTGCTTTTAAATGAATAAATAAGAAACATTCTCGGTCTGTAGACCTTGGCTGGAAAGTGTTTTTATGCAACTTATCAGATCGTGCGCTTTGAGGGGCGCCACCGTCGTTGTAATCAAACTGTAGTCGTTAGTTTTAAAACATTAAAAAAAAAAATTTCTAATGGTGATTGAACCATGAAACTTTTTATGTAGCGTAATTATAACCTAAATTAGCTGAAAATAACCCTAGAACCTAGAGTAAACTCTGCCTTTAACTAGTTGAGAAACAATCTTATCAGGTAAGAATTTGACGATACATTTAGCCCCGTTAGTACTTGCTTTTAATGTAAAAAAATGGCAAATTAAAAAAAACCAGAAAATTCGTGACGTAGTCAATTTAACCCCTCGTAGGATGAATGCAAACTTCAATAGTGCTTGTTTAGCTACAACTTTCTGCTCACTACATTTTGGCATTGCTGCAGTTGGCATTACAGCTTGTTTGTACGTGTACTACGCGCACCTACGTATGATTGCCCACATGCATAAATTAATTAGAATGGCAATAATCAAGTAATCTTGCAAGTTAGTCGCAGGTTATTTGCTTGGACATTTGTATTCCCCACACAACTGCATTCTGAGTTTACAAATGCAGGGTTCAAAATTAGCACTCGCCAGGTCGCCATAGGCGAGTGATATTCATGTTGGGCAAGTTTAATTCAAACAGTACTCGCCCAGTTTGCCGAGCTCAGTTTTAGGCCCTAAATAATATCAAGAGTAAGATAATGCCCCAATTTTTATACCCCAATTATAATTGGGTTATTATCTTACTCTTCATAATATCTGACATGACAACTAGACATTTTATTATCACAGCTAGATAGCATTTTAATAAGTTCGATCATATCTGTGACGTAACACATAACTTAAATATTTTTATATACTGTCATAAACACGTACCTTTCTGGATACATATAAATGTATATATAGATATGTTATAAGTTATACATTTATTATTACGCTTGTGGGTATGGATGTTCATTATATTAATTATGTGCGTGATATAATTATTTTTTTTCAATAGCACCAAGTGGTAGAGAAGAAGTTTGGTTAATGTCTCACTCGTCCATGGATAACATGGCTGAAAGAATTGTGCAATTATGTGAACTTTCCAAGGAAAAGAATCCGCCAGTATGTGCACAATTACTTTTACTATTTACAACTCGAGCTAGGGAATGCATAAATTGTTACTTGGCGGCAGGGTTCGAATTAACCGACGGCACCGACGGCAATTGCCGTCGGTGCCCCTATCAATCGCCGTACTGCCCCTGAAAATCCAACCCGACCGACGGCAGTCACCTGCCTTGCCCTTTTGTGTAATTGCCGTCGGTGCCCTTTAATCTACTGCCCTAGTTTCGTTTTTTAGTCAAATCAACAATAACACGTGCGCGTGCGTGCTGTAGTTGCAATGATGAGCTAAAAACCGATAGTCGCAGAAGGGAATAATAACGGCATCGATAATTATTAGCTCCTGATAGCGGCCATGTAAAATTTCTTCCATTACTTCATTAGCAGAGGTGGTCAGGGGTCTGTGTTACGGTGTTAGCTTACATGGGGGCATATTGTTTTGTACATTAAAAGCAAGACGATGTTGATGTACTAATTGTATCCCCCGAACGAAGTTCGTGGGGATACTATGGATTTGGCATCGTCGCGCCGCCGCCGCCGCAGAGATTTCCTTGTGAGCGCTCTACCGGCTGCAGTTCTTCTCGGATCATCTTCAAATTTTGAATGAAGATGCGTTATCGTAAAGCGAAAGACACTATCGGTTTTTGGTGTGGGCGGAGTCATCGTTGCCATGGTAACAACATTTTTTGTCGAAATATTCTAGAACCTGTAACTTCTGCACTTTTTACCCGATTGTCATGAAATTAATGTTTGTATTAAAATTAAAATTTAAAAATTCTAAAAAAAAGAAAAGAAAAAAAAATATTTGCAAAAAAATATAAAAAAATAAAAATATTTGTATTAAAATTTGTATTTAAATTTATATATAAATTTATGATTGTCATCAAATATATATATATATACATATTATAATATATATATAGGACATGTTATATCGGCCCTGTGTGCCAAATTCGATGAAAATCGGGTAAAAACAGCACAAGTTACCTGTAGGTTCTACAATATTTCCACAAAAACGTTGTTACCATGGCAACAATGACTCTCCACACCGAAACAACACTGATTAGAGCGTCTTCTTAGATACGCACCTTTCGCAAATAATCGGACCTCTCCTCGCTTCCGCTCGACCTCTCCCCAGAAAGCCGACCCTGTCTGATATGCACCGCAGATAGAAATCCGACCATAACTACGGCCTCTTAAAAGAACTAATTATAATCCTAAATTATTGTCTGTGCTAATCATCTATATTCTATATTGCTTACATGATTCAGGATTTGTCATAATCATGACACAATTCACAGACAGTGTCTTTGCTCAGGAGAAGATGTAATCGATAATATATAGTCCGTGAATGAATCAATGAGTTTATGAATCATGAGAACTCGGCCCTGCCTTGTATTGCATTGATCACATAGTGGTTAATTTCATGGAGGGCGCATATATCGATAAATAATAATTATTAAGTATAAGGCTCAATTTACAATTTAAGCATTGGCCACACAACTACCGCTGTAGATCTCATATTGATGGATCGCCGTTTGGACCCACTCTCCCATTTCGCAGCTCGACTCTGATATTACAATAAAAGCAATGCTGAGCTTGGTAGCTTTTTTTCGGTCGCAAAAACTCTTCTTCTTGTTTTTTCTATGAAACTTCTGCAGGCTATTTTTTCTAATATTTTACGAATCGATGGTTTCGACCGCGGCTGGTTAGATCTGTAGCAGCCACGATTTACCGTGCAAAACAGACGATGAACGTATCTGTACACGTACGATTTAGCATTTACCTTTCAATTATTTTATTTATAAAATAACGAAAGCATACGAATATTCGAAGACTGAAAACGACAACCCGAAGAGTCTTATCTCGCCAAACAAAACATGCTGAAACCCACACCCACGGAAAGCCTCGAAAAATTTTGAGCAGATAATTGCGAGATTCAGAATGTACGCGTGCCAATGTTATATTTGTGAAATATTTTTATTCTTTACTAGTGTCTGTAATTCTCAGTTATATTACTCTGTATCTACTCTTTGGTCCGAATTTATCGTATCACACATATAGTTCTTTATTAAGTCTTATCGAATTAAGGTCTGCATTCCTTATACTGATATCGCCTCTCGTCTATCAAACCGCTCAGATTGTTCAAATCGTCAACACAGCCTAGTAATGATAATCCATGATAACGTCGTAAAGCTCATAACAATTATTACTATTAATAACTTCGCGATCTCTAACATGCATATTAATTTGTATTATAACTGGACCTCTCGTCTAAATAAAATACAAGCACTGCAATACCTCCAGGTTGACACATTTACGTAAGGTCATTTGTATGACACCATATTGTGCATGGATTGTGATTGTGTTTGTATTGAGATGTTTATGGACTCGATGAGTAATGCATTAGAAATAACAGATCCCAATGTAAAACTAACGCAGTCCCTCGGTCTTGTTCTTTGGTGTTCAAGCCTAATAGTTCTGCATAACTGCCTCTGCCAAACATTTTCAGATTCTGATTTCAGTTTCCGCGATCAACGCCATCATTGTGTCGAGTCTTATCTTCTCATTTTCTATTATCACAGATATATTTCTCTCGAATAACCGCCGTAAGTTATTTCGTAGCCATTTTACCTGATTAGGCAATCTCACCTGGCGAAACGAAGTTGTTGTAACGTCGAACGATGTTGCCTGACCGTCGATGAGAACGCCGAACTGAAACCTATTCGCATTCGGCTATCCGTCCGCTATTATCAGGGTCACTAAATCGTTAATAATATAAACACTAACAATTTCCCTCTCGGCCCAACCGGAACTAAACATATCGCTTTCCGTCACCACTCGCTTGTCAGCGCCCACCTATAACCCCGAGTGCGCGTCCGCCCACTCTGTGCCACTGAATTTTTTATACTTGTTGCGCGGAATGCCTCTCAGGAGTATGGCGCAGTGGGGAGGCGAGGAGGAGCGAGAAGCGAGCAGCCAGCGAGGTTAGCACGCTTCAGCTATAAAGCCCCATAGCTCTGAGGAGGAGGGCGTGGGCGTGCTCGTCGTAACCAGGCGACAAGAGAAGATAGTACCTGTGAAGGATGGAGACAGAGAGGGACCGAGAATCAGTACCCGCGTGAAGGAGAAGGAAAGACAAGAATAAAGAGGAGGAGGGGAATAGAACCCGGAGAAGAGGGGGAGCGGAGGAGGAGGAGGCCAGAAAGAGGGTGAGAGAGCAGGAGCACGGATATCCTTTACACCAAATAGGAAAATCGGGGACTCACGCACCGCGGGCTAGTGTCGCCTCCCTCTCCCGATTCTTTCATCTGCACCAGTAGTTACAGTATATACACACCTACCGCCTTATCGTGTTTAGCAAAAGTTTTCTTCTGGTTTAATATTGAGCTATGACTCTGAAGTTGATCCTCGATGCATAATCCATAGTTTGTTATAATATTACTAAAACGCCTATGTGTGTATTAGAGGACGAGTTCATGATAATATCAGTTAGTTTTCTCTCGTGCTTGGTGTCGCATGTCAGCTTGTGTATTTAAAGCTTTTTTACACCTTGCCCTGTTGCTTCGCATAAGTGCCTTAAGAAGATATTTCCATTCATTACTTGAAAGTAATTACGTGTAGCGCCGTCTGTGATGATGTTATATCGAATTGAATAGTGTGCTCGGTATCTGACATAGCTTGTGGAGATTGGCGGTCGTCTTATATCTAGTAATTGCAGTTACTGGCAGTCCTTAATTCCATCTGTGACATCTTCTATATGTTTAATTGATATAGATGCTCGTGTTGCTGTCGCCCATCACCTTGCTCATAATATTTAGTGTGTAAAGGTAGTTATGTATTTGGTCGCTGTGATTTTTGTGTGTGATAGTTTTGGAGAAAATTGCTGATAGGTGTAGTGATTTTCGTTGCTGTGCATGCTCCTCGTGTGTAGAAAATAATTAGCCCTGTTGTGCCGCTTCTCGTCGCTTAAATTCGAGCCCTGCTTGGCTGGCTAATTGACCACGCATTCTGTAGGATTAGAAGACAGCGGTTGGACTTTGCAATAGAGTAACATGTCTAAATAGTACGCGAGCCAAAGACCCCGAGATTTTGGCGGGCACCCTGCACTGCAGAGTTAAAGTGTTTTTATCTTCTGCTTGATTTCTGTAGACTAGGTGTTTCGCTTTCACTTTCTTAGCGTGGCATGACCACGTCACCCCTTGCAGCCAATTTTCTGTCATTGTGTGTAGCCTCGCGTTGTTTCTGTGTTTGAGAGCGTCAACTCAAAAATTGGCGAAATTAGGGGTGGGGAAAAACAAAAAGATCTACTAGATCTGGTTGTTTTTAAAGCTAACTTGGATCAATGCTGACCACTCAAAATGTTCGTATTTCAACTAGACTCTTTCTAATGCATAGTTGGCAAAATTGAGGTCATAGAGCGCTTCAAAAGGTCACCAATTTTTGAGCATTCCTCGCGAAATCTTATATTGCTTTTGAGCACCCCTGCCTTGGGCCAAGAACAGGACTTCTAATGCCGTGCTTTTTACCTCTAAATTTGCTTCAAGGAGATGGCCTGCTACTCATTTTAAATGTAGCTGTGCTTCTCGTGTGTCTCGAATATTGGTTGAATGTTCGACCAACATATTACAATAATAAACGACAAGTGATGTGCTAAAATAGCTGTTTTTTTTACCCAAAGTTGATAACGCCTTACAGTAATCAGATCCTGTTGCGATATGTCTAGACGATGTCGGTGCCGTGGTGCTGTTGTTCCGTTCCACCATCGTATATTGGCAATCAGGGCAAAAGTCAAGAGGCATTATTTCTAGATGTGTGTGTGGGCATATTTTGCAAACTTACATGTGAGGTGGTTCAAGGTTCATACTCAAGTTGCAGGGTTAACTCGAAAAGTCAGTTGTTTCAATGAACTGCTGTGTGATGCTGGCATCATTTTAGACATAACCAGCCCCATAGGTAGCTCCATTTACTAATTCGTTTTTAAAAAAATGAA